GCAAAAATATCTAATACTTGTGCAAACACAATGTCTATTCAATCTGTATAACTGCCTCACCATAACCATTCTGTGAGACGGATCATGTAAGAGGATAAGAGCTTCTCACTTGAGTCAGTGAAGTCTGGTCATCCAGGATGTACAAGATGCAATGGGTTTTTTTTCCAGCAAAGACATCTAGGCATGATTCACTGTACATCTTGGAACTAGGAATCCAAGCTAACTGCTATTGTCTATATTCCTCCTGCACGTTAAAAACCAACCAGTCAAATCCAGCCATGCAAGCAAGAACAAATGGAGGGGTTTGATTTATAAATCAGGAAGTTAGTGCTTCACTGCTGTTGGGAATTTGCCTAGAATTGTCTGGTTTTGTCTTATGAAACTTCTTCTAAACCCACTGATGATTTTCCTAATTTAAGAGATGAAAGCTGCTAAGTAGAGTGATAGAATACCAGATAGAGTAGTTGGTAAGTGAACTGCAAAAGGCAGCAAGTTTGATAAATATCTCCAGGACGTGAGTGGTACCTAAAATGCTACAATGAATCTACCACACAGGCTTTGAAAGTACCAGTTGAGGTTTGGGCTCCTTGGTCCTGATCAACTCACTTATAAAAGAGGGAGCAGTCACTAACAAATTACCCTTCTTTTAATTTACTACAGAATTAGTAAAAGGTATTCGATAGCTAGTTCTTTGGTCTAGGATTCGGTGGGTAGTGCTTAAGAGGGCCAAGCTTACTCAGCGTGCTGCTTCCCTACTAAAGGAGACTCTCCAGCTGAGGCTCATTCTGTATGTGCTGCCATTCACCTGCTGGCGTGATTTCCTGGGCAACAGCAGTCTGGCTGGAAAAAACACGGGAGATGTTCACTGGCAAAGTTGATGCAAAATTGCTCTAAGCTATTCACGCCTAAATCCTGCAGAGACAAAAAGGCATCGCTAGCTCCAACTCCAGCCCTCCCAGGGGGCTGTGTCTTGTGAAGAGCGCACAGCACCAGATGGCGCTGATCAGGCAGCTTGCTCTGATCAGTAAGTGTGAACGAACCTGAGAAATTCAAATCATCTGTCTAGTTTGCAAGCCCTCAGACTAGGTTATTGACTAGGCTGAACATTAAGAGGCAAGACAAGCTGCAAAGGAGGACAAAGAAGATGAGATCTGCTCTTGGATGAACACCCCTACCTGTATATATTCCATTGTTTTCAGCATTCATCAGAACATGTAGATTTTAACAGGAATCCTAAGTATAAAACTCAAAGATCACTTTATGCCCCTGCTCGGCCTGGTTTTTACTTACCACAAGTCTGAGAAGTCCCCATAAGCTCGCTGGGTCAGAGGCATGGGTGTCTACATGCTACAAGGGTAATGATTCCTGACCCAGAACTGTAGGTGCTACCCTCACCGCAATTTCAAAAAGTAACAGCTTTGCTTTGGTTATCTGCACTTCTCCTCTCTCTGGCCTGATACAAAGCCTAGTGGATCAGGAAGAATCTCTTCAGAAACTTCAGTGGATTCTGGACTTGTCCCTGTTCAGGCTGGGAACAACAGAAAAACAGGATATACATGTGAAAATAAATAAATTGTAAAAGATAGTGTTATCATATTTCCAGCTTTATCCAAGTCTTGAGGAAGAAATGGGAACAGTTAGATTAAAATTACTTTACAAAATGTTTTTCTTCTATTAGTAATAGCAACACAAATAACTAAAACGTGATCCATTAAGAATTAGCTCACGCTGCTCACCTCATCAGTACAGCATGGTCAAGCTAAGTTTTTTTCCTGGGTTTGGTCCATCAAAACAAGGCAATGAGTGATGTGGGTCCCCAAGTCACTGCTGTGCAGCAGAGCACTGGCTGCAGGGAAAGGCCTCTGGCTGTGTATGTTTGTGTGTAAGTGAACGTTTTAAGAAACATCTAGTGGTTTTGTCAAACCTTCTTAAGGTGAGAATCAAACCATGGAGTTAAAATCCCCAAGTGTCCTTTCAACATCTCATGTAGCTTGGTTTCTAAACTCCAGTGCACTTGCTGAAAAGCTGGGTTTGACCTGTTTAGCACAGCATAGAAGCTAATTCAATAGGCCAAGTTGGATGAAAACACTGGCTTTGTTCTGATTTAAAACCAAATTGTTTTCTTCTTCCTTGAAATGACAGAGCCAAAGCTAGCTGTGTGCAGTATCTATATGCAGCACCATACTGGCCAGTTCATGCAAAAGTATTAAACCTGCAAGGCTGACATGGTGGGATTACCAGAAACCATCCTATTTGAGACTCGGCTGTGAAGTGCGTAACGATTGTTAGGACTCCACCTACACACCAATGCTACCTGCAGTCCACCCCATCCTAGGACCTTAGGATTCTACCTACGCTACACAGTCAGGGAAGACTATGGGCTCCTCCAGATAGCAATTCATAAGAATCTACAGTGAAAGTGTCAAATCACACCCTGAAGGAGCACGTCTACACTGCCTCTCAAAAAGAAAGTACTCCCCTGAACAGATACCTACATTACATGGTAAAATGACCATCTCTTCACTGGAAAAACAAGCAAACAAACAAAAATTAACCAGAAGCCCACTCATCAGATACCCTCCCCTTTCTGGCTGAGGAGAATCAGCACCTGCACTTGCAGCCCAGACAACACCAAAGAATAGGAAAAGCAACCTCAAACCCGTGTATGCTCAAAGCACAGTCTGATTCCCAGGGAGCCAACCACCCACTGATGTGTAGAAACAGCCATTCAAAGCAGGTAATACAGAGTCTTTGCAATGGAGTCTCTGAGTAGAAGAAGGGAGTAAACCTAGTTACTGCAAAGACAGCACCTGTGGGTGCACCTCACCAACCCAGACAACAACAGAAGTCACTTTGCATCAGTGGCCCCTTCTGCAGACAAAGGGGTGAAGATCCAGTCATAAGATGTCACCCGGATTCATAAAGAGCCAGAATATACTGTTGTTATTTCACAAATACACATACGTTTTTCAAATAGACAAGGAATTCAGCCTGGTTAATAAATGGTGCTTTTTTTTTTTTTCTTTTTCCTAGTTGGCCTGAGAATTTACCCATGTATGAAAGGAAGGAGCAAAATGAGAATTTTGCTGCCATGTTTCAGGGTGGGAATCACAGAATCCCAGCCTGGTTTGGGCTGGAAGGGACCTTAAAGCTCATCCAGCTCCAACCCCTGCCACAGGCAGGGACACCTTCCACTAGAGCACCTTGCTCCAAGCCCCTGTGTCCAACCTGGCCTTGAACACTGCCAGGGATGGGGCAGCCACAGCTTCTCTGGGCACCCTGTGCCAGTGCCTCAGCACCCTCACAGGGAAGAGCTGCTGCCTAAGAGCTCATCTCAGTCTCCCCTCTGGCAGGTTAAAGCCATTCCTCTTGGCCTGTCCCTACAGGCCCTTGTCCAAAGCCCCTCTCCAGGATTCCTGGAGCCCCTTTAGGCACTGGAGCTGCTCTAAGGTCTCCATGGAGCTCAGCCTGTCTCCATAGGAGAGTTAGCTGGCCAAAGTGTTAAGCCTGAAGCCACCTCATATCAAAAAAGAGCCCCCCTAGATGTGACAATCCAGCACAGCAGTCATTTCACTCCTTCTGTTACCTCCCAGATTTTGGACCTTCTAAGGTGGTGGCCCTTCTTCTGACAGAGCACCAGCTAGAACATTCTATGCTTCAGGATAAATGAGAAATCACCAAAAAGGTACTCACAGTGACATAGTGAGTGACAGCACTTTGCAGACTTTTGAAATCTGTTGCGACACACAATAAATTGCCCACAATCCAAATCTCAGGCACTGGCAATGGCTGCATGTTCATAGGATTCTTTCTAAATGATGGAGAACAATAGGTTCAACTATGAATGGGATACTGAGTTCCACTAGTATCAGCTCCCCAGCTGCACAGAGCTGGTCACAGCCTTGGCAAAACAACAGCATCTAGGCTCATTTTAGATCCTCAAAGAAGTACTGTAACAGATGGGAACCTATTTGGGAGTTGATTCCCTCTCATGACTGAGAGACATAACAAAGTATGTTTGTGTCACAGTGCATTCAGTAGAGTCCACATGTGTATGTATGTTCATGGTGACTGTTGAAAAGAGGCAGGGAAACATGAGGGTGCAGCTGTTCCATGAGCTTCCCATTTGGGCACGCTGGGGCACCTGGCCAACACTGCGTGGCCAACACTGAGATGATGAGAAAGTGCACGGACCCACGAGTAAACAATGGCAGAGCTGGCATAAAGCTTATTGTGTTTCTAAGGGTATAAAAGCAGGAGCCTCTTGAAGCTGAATCCAAGGCCTCAGATTTGGGTGGACGCACCGTGTAGGAACCTTCCCAATTACCTGAGACTCCCAGCATCAGCTGCAATGAGGCTCCCCAGCTGAAGTGTGTGCCCGGAGGATGGTTCAGTGGTGACTGGTGATGTACTTCTTACTCTCTGTTCTCTCTGTGCTGTATTGATTCGATCCATTGCTAATTTTCATTTGTACTTTACTTTCATATATTACATATATATATCTGATTTGCTTTATTGTACTTATTTACTGTATGTAGGTACATACCCGATTCACGTTAGTGTGCTTGTTTGCTTTAGTGTGCTTGTTTAATAAACTGTGCATATTATACAGCTAGTGTTTGGTCATTTTGTTGCCTGCCCTGCCTATCAGCAGAATAGCCACCCAAGCTGTAATAACCCTTTGTTGTCTCCCATCTCCTGTGCCTCTCTAGGTCAGTCTAGGCCCAAACGTTATAAGAACAGAATAGCTTCCAAATGATACAATTTTCAGTCAAGAATAATGTCCCCAGTTCCATCAAGTGGGATAATAGCAATGTTAGAATCATGGAACAGCTGGTGTTGGAAGAGAACATCCAGTCCCAAATCCCTGTCACAGGCAGGGACACCTTCCACTAGAGCTGCTCGCTTCAAGCCCTGTGTCCAACCTGGCCTTGAACACTGCCAGGGATGGGGCAGCCACAGCTTCTCTGGGCACCCTGTGCCAGCGCCTCACTACACAAACAACCCATTCCCAAGTTGCCAAGGGTTAGTGTACCTCACAGGAGGCAAAGCAAGTGTTCCCAGTTGCAGAGGGCAGCCAGCACAGCGCAGGTAGAGGTCAGCTGATGGAGATGCTGATTTCCTCCAGAGCTTGCACCAAGACCAGAAAGTGCTTGCTGTCCTCCTTCCCCAGGATGGGGGATGTCACATGCTTTGCCCTGAGAGAATATGGGACAGATAACTGTGGTCGCCCTTCTTGCCCCAGACTGGAGCTAAGCTACTAGCAGCAATCTTCAAAGTAGTAGTTCAATGATTTAAGGACTGGAGAAATCTGAAATAAAAAGACCAAAGACACCACTAGTGGGAGCTCAGCATTCACGACATGCCAGTCTCTTCCCTCCGGAGCTCTCGAGAGTAAGATCTCTTTTGCTAACATAAGTTTTTATTATGGTACCAATACAGGCACCCTAGCTACTCCTTGCCCACTGCTGGACTGCAGCTTGAGAGAAGAAGGGATGTCAGAATCTACTCCCAAGTAAGTCGTATCAGAGCTGCTACTCCAAATGGTACCAGAACCCAGTGTACCAAAGCCAGTGGATTTCTGTACACCTCAAGAGCCATCCTGGGTTATAGTCCCAGAGCTTCACTACAGCTGCCACAGAGCTTCACTACAACATAGACATATCACTTCTATTCTTCTTCTGCTTTTCTCTACAAGAGGACACTCCTAACAAGTCTGTGACCCTGAAATCCTGGGTCAAGGGAGCCTGTAGAACCTGTTTGTGTACAAGGACATTCTTTGACAAAAGTTTCCAGCTGATGGCCAGATTCAGACGAGGTTCGTGCAGGCCCTGGGCTTCTTCTTGCCAAAACTAAGATCCGAGAGAGATATTTTGTCAGTCTCTGCTAACTTCTTTACACATTATCTGATTCTTTTTCCTTTTCTTCTTTGCAACAGGCTGAGACACTCCTATTAACCATCCCTTGGAAGAGTTTAGTTTACAATGCAGATCCTTTGCCAACTAGGAGCATCACCCCCTTGAGTTATAGGCCTTTAATTGCCCTCCATCCTTAAGTCATTAGTGGTACTTGTTCGTTCCTTGCCTGAAGGAAAGATGATAGTGATCATTCCCCAAGGATTCCTCACATGACCACAGCTGCTGTAAAGAGTTTGCCCATCTGGGAAAGCTGACCCACAAGACTGAAACAGGAAAGATATCTTGCTCTTACTCTGGAAATGGAAAATATTCTTAAAAAAAACCCTGTGCTCCAAAGTGATGACTTGCCGTAAGTCTGGCAAACAATTTTCCAATTGAAATAGATTTTAATCAGCAGTACATTTCAGTGGTTAAAAGGTTAAAAATTTTCACCCATTGACTCAGTCAATGAATCAAGTGTTTACCCTGCTCTTTTCAGTCCCACAATAAATTGCAAATGCCAGGGAAAGGGAAGGAGAAAAGGATTTCTTCACTAGAGGGTAGAGCCTTGGGCCTACACAATGATTCCTTTTTCTGCTCCCTTTCTCTGGGAGCAGAAGGGGCCTGAAAGGTGAGACAATGATCACAAAAGACAAAGGTATTCTTTCTTAAGTCAGGTGTGGGAAGCAACAGAATAGATTTTTGCAGTCCTATGAGGGACACTCGGGAGGGAAGCAAAGTTATTAGGTACCTCACTGACCAAACAGCTGCTGCAGAGCATCCTTACCTCACTCACCTGAGTCAGCTAAGACTGCCTCTTGCAAGTACATAACTTTCTGCTCCACGGACAGCCCAACTAGTAGCTCATAAAACACATGGTAATTCCTCTCACCGTGGGCCTGGCAGGGGATACGGTTCTTACAGTTGACTCATATCCAGTTCCAAAACCCTATAGAACACATTCAAAGAGCAGGGCACTGAAACTTCTGAAGTCAGGAGCCACTCAACACCTATTTTATTTGAAAAGTTTCCAGGATTTCTCCGACACCTTAGGATCATTCCATCTTGAGAGCAGCCCCTTTCACACAGCTCCAAAATCTGACCTTTTCCACGTTCCAGACATTGAGAAAAATTAAGTTGAGGAAAGATTTAACTTCCAATAATTCCTAATAAGTAGCTTAACTAAACCTGTTTGAGACTGAACATTGTCCTATTTTATTAAAATAAAATAAATGATCACTTTGTGCTACACGTGGGGGACATATTTTTTGCTGTAAGAACAAATGGGAGGTAAATATCATACTTAGTCCCATCCCTGTTATTTAACAGTGAATTTAAGATTAAATCTGTACGGGGGAGAGAAAGACACCTCTAGGAGGAAGGAGCGCATTGGTCCTCACCTGAAATACCACATGAGACTTCTCCAGCAGGGACTGGGAGATGGATTTTCCCACCATGATATCACAAGTGTAAGATAACCGCAGATCCTGTCAGAAGCTAGATTCTATAGATTCACTTCTCTGAAGGTTTAGCAGAGGGTGTTGTTGCTGAGAAACAAGGGTATGACCTGACCAACTTGGTCTGAATTTTGAAAAGCAAGAAAATGGTGCATGAAATTCACTGTCAATAAATGTAAAGTGATGCCACAGGTTGAAGCAATCCCAGCTTCACACAAGCTGACAGGCTCTAAGGTAACCACTGCTGTTTAGGATGAAGACCTTGTGGTTATGATACACAGTTCCATGAAAATATCAGCTCAGTGCTTGGCAACAGTCAAAATAAACCAAAACAACCAAAACAAAACCAAAAAAAAAAAAAACAACAAAAAAAAACAAAGCCAAACAAATGAAAAACAAAACTAAAAAAGCCACATATGTTCAAAATAAAAAAGGACATTTTACACGGAACTTGTTAGACCTGTAGAACACTTGCCAAAGACTGTTGCAGAGTCATGAAGTTTGTGTGAGTTCAAGAGGAAACTGGGAAACCACAAGAGTATTGGAAAAACTTCGAGCTGCTGCAAATGGCTAAGATCTAACAAAGTGTTAAGAAAAAAGCATTATATGTATTTGGCACGTTCTTACTGTTGCACCAGTGAATGCTTGTGGCTAGTGTTGGAGACACAAAATTGTATTAGATGGCTCCTTGCTATAAACCTGTTCAGCCTTTCTTACTTCCTTAATTTATCACCCATCATGAGAGGTGAAGATCTATTCTTTTCTGGGGGAAAACTAAAAGCAAAACAGGAATGTAAACTCACTCTTTTCATATCCTGATGATAACAGAGTGTAAGGGAGAAAGAACTATCACAAGAGCTCTGAGCACTGCTAGACCTTTACTCACCCAAGCACCCCTTGACAGCTGAGAAGGATAGCATCCCAAGATGTTCCTTTAACTCACTGTCGCAGGTGGACATTCAGAAGCTTTCCAAAACGGCTTGAGTTGTCACTGAGGATGGTTCTGGCATTCCCAGAACTCTCCAGGATGGACAGAACATTGCAGGGCTTGAAGAAAAGAGGGAGAGAAGACTTCAGGAGCCATCAGGGGTTTCAAATTGCAAGCTTGAAAATCCAAGAGAAATGGGACTTCAATGAAACAATTCTTGACTGGCTGAAGAGCCTCTTTTAAAGTTTATCTTGGTATGATTACCTCTAGCCATTGATGAGTTGCTCTATGAGCTCTTTGCCTTCACTGCTATGATCTTTCACTTTACTTTTTCTCTGTCTTTGTTCAGATTCACCTCACTGCTATAAGGTCTTTAAGGTAGGTACCATCTGTTCAAACAGGTAGAGCACCCTATACATCAGGGCTCACAGATGCTAAAATAAAGGACAAGCCCTTAAGTCTTTACGGGAGCCTCACCTTGAACCACAAGCCATCCAAAGTCCAGCTCAGTTAAATAGGAACAAAGAAATAACATAAACAGTATGGCCTCCTTACCCTGTCACCGGCTTCTACTTCTTGCCTAACTGTCAGAGCATAAAGCCAAACTCAGTTGCCTCTTACCTGTTTGATCTCTAGTATAACATGGCCAGACATTGCACAATTGCTTTGGCAGCTTCTGTTTTACCTGACCCACTGTGCACAATGGGGTAAAAGAGGTAAGGAAGCTGGCATTAAACCAGAAGTACCTAATTTAGACATATCAGAGGACCTGTTGCAGTAAATCAGTGGAATTGCAGTGATTTACAAGTGAAGATCACATACTATTTGAAACACCGAGACAACCTGACAAAACAAGCCCACATAAGGTTTCACTGTGGAATGCCAAACACCTTCTCTTCCACTCCTATGACCTGATGTGCAGCTAAATTCAAACCATATCTGCACAGAGTGAAGTAAATATTCATCTTATTAATGTTGGCTACTGACAGCCTTCACACAAGAGCTGGAAAGATAAACTTTTGGACAGTGGAATACAAAGATGAAAATCTTACATAAAGAAATTAAGAAGCCTTTGAAAAAGTACCCCAATTGCCTACCTGATGCCGACACTCTGATCTTGCCCTGAGGACTGGGATAGACTAAAGGCAGTTTCTGCTATGGCAAAGGTGTGTCTAGATGTACAGAAATAAACCCTCAGCTAACTGACTTCACATTTCTACCTCGCAAATACAGCACCAAAAGGTTACACACAAGTGATCTACTTTAGAGATGGGCCAGTATCTTGATATGAGTAATGTGAGGAACCGTGGAAATCAGAGCTTTGTTCTTTGCTGACATCTGGTTAATACCACTGCTACAAGCTGCTGCAAAGATCAGGTCCTCTAGAACCTTTTCAATCTAACCTGTGCCATGGTGTTTAATATAAAGGACACCAGCAGAATTATGTGCACTAGAGAAACCTGCCTACGTTGCTAGCTCTGGTAGGGCTGTACAGGTGAGGAGAGCATATAGCCAGAACTTCCCAGGACCACTGAATTCAGGACCTTCAGCAATACTGAAGAAAAGTGACCTAAGAGTTTGGCTCTGTAGCATGACAGGTATGAGCAACTACAACTTTGCCAAATGTCTTTTTTTACTTCATGTGGCATTCATCCTGTGCTATCAGACAACTGGAGAGAAAGCAAATACTTTCTGGAGGACAAACAGAATGGAGTTTAGGAAGTCATTTGAGAAAGAGAAACATATGGGGCATTTTTTGAGAGAGTCCCTTGGTGGTACTGCTGAACCCAGGGCAGCTGCATAGCCACAGGTTTGGAGTAGACACTGAGGTCTTTGAAAGGATTAATAGAAATCAAAATTTGCCCAATGTAAGTCTAGGACAAAAACAAGAAATGGAAAAAAGAACCATCCAGTTTGAATTCCCTGCCATGGGCAAGGACACCTTCCACTAGAGCAGCTTGCTCCCAGCCCCTTCCAGCCTGGCCTTGAACACTGCCAGGGATGGGGCAGCCACAGCTTCTCTGGGCACCCTGTGCCAGCGCCTCAGCACCCTCACAGGGAAGAACTTCTTTCTAAAGTCCCATCTAAATCTACAAAAGCTCAGAACACCCAGCCTGTCCATCTCTGTGTGATGACACCGCCTTGTACACAGCCTTCACAGTCGTTTATTTCAACAGGATGGTGAGAGTAGAGGGTGCAGGACTATGTAAGGAGCAGTGTTAGGTGCTTCTCTTTCAAGCACAACAGTGAACCCATGATTTAAAAGCTGTTAAAGATGCAGGGCCTGAGCTTCCCATAGCTGAAGGCAACAGGAATCGCTAAAGCCACCAAGGACACCAGTGTTAACAAACTCTCATCCTGCAAGTCTTTCTGACTTACCACCCACTTCATGCAACATGAATGGTATGTCAAATTCCTACTTTTGTCCCTCTGCAACACCACAGAAGTTACACCAGCCTCCAAACCTCTTTTCCCCTGCCCATAAAATGTATTTGGGTTTTTTTAGAAGCCATTTCAGGACTGCGAACCATTTAACAAGAGAGGTGAAGATCCCTGCACACATCTGTGAGAAAGTCTGCTAACTAGGATGAGCTGTTCTCTCTGGTGTGTGACTGCAGAGATTCAGTGTGTGCTCCCTGTGCAGCAGAGCTTAGGGGCACACTATACACAAGCCAGGAGTTCCCTCTGCAGCTGTGCTCCTCCTCACATCGTTCAGTGTAGGCATAACAAATACTGCAATTCAGCCTTTACCTAGCTTTACTGCAGAACATCAGTTAATCAGCCACAAGATGCATCAAATTAATTCTATTTTCTCCCACGGTAGCCATGGATTTATCATGTGCTTTCTGTTGCTGAACCAACAGTAGCTGTGAAGGATAACAAACAAGCCCATGTGACTTCAAATTAGCTTCAGAATACCACTGACAACACATACTCCAGTCTGGTTAGATCGTCAACCTCCTCAACTTCTATGCAGGGATCTTCACACATGTACACCTGAAATGCATAGATACATTACTGAAAATCAGGAAAGTTCTTCATTCCAGTACTGGAGACAACACGAGTACGTTTCTGCATGAATTCAGTCTCTAGCGTATTGTCAGTGATGTCTTCTGCTTCCCACATATCCTTTCAGACCTTCATCACGGCTGCTGGCCAGATGCGGGTCCTTGTAGATGGCCATTTGCTTAGATTTTCAGTGGTTAGTCGTGGCAGCAGCAATTCGAAGTTCAGCCATGCTGCTTAGACCAGTGAACACAAGGTGTGACTATGGACTCTGCAGTCTGAAGGACCCCTAAACCCTCTTTGGCATCTACCTCCCTTGAATAATCTGATGTACGTATTGGATCCTCTGCTCACTGAGGAAGGAAGCCCTGTTCACTGTTTCTCTGAGGGTTTTGATCTATCAAAGATCTGGGAAGGTCACATTTAAATCTGTGGCCTTGTTGCACAGGCAGCACAGATTTTCTGTCTGATAGAGCTCTGTTTGTCTAGAGAATCCCCATTCCCAGAGCCCCTGGATAAGGAGCTAGAATCATAGAACAGTTTGGGTTGGAAAGGACCTGAAGATCCTCTAGTTCCAACCCCCCTGCCATGGGCAGGGACACCTCACACTAAACCATATCACCCAAGGCTCTGTCCAGCCTGGCCTTGAACACTGCAAGGGATGGATCACTCGCAACTCCCTTGGGCAACCCATTCCAGTGCCTCACCACCCTTACAGTAAATAACTTCCTCCTTATATCCAATCTAAACTTGCCCTGTTTAAGTTTTAACCCGTTACCCCTTGTCCTACCACTACAGTCCCTAATGAAGAGTCCATCCCCAGCATGCCTATAGGCTGCCTTCAGATACTGGAAGCTGCTCTGAGGTCTCCACACAGCTTCTGTTCTCCAGGCTGAACAGCCCCAACTTTCTCAGCCTGTCTTCATACAGGAGCTGCTCCAGCCCCTGATCATCCTTGTGGCCTCCTCTGGACTTGTTCCAACAGTTCCATGTCCTTTTTATGTTGAGGACACCAGAACTGCACACAATGCTCCAAGTGAGGTCTCACAGGAGCAGAGCAGAGGGGCAGGATCACTTCCTTCGACCTGCTGGTCACACTCCTTTTGATGCAGCCCAGGATACGGTTGGCTTTCTGGGCTGCAAGTGCACACTGGAGCCGGCTCATGTTCATTTTCTCATCGACCAACTCCCCCAAGTCCTTCTCTGCAGGGCTGCTCTGAATCTCTTCTCTGCCCAACCTGTAGCTGTGCCTGGGATTGCTCCCACCCAGGTGTAGGACCTTGCACTTGGCATGGTTAAACTCCATGAGGCTGGCATCAGCCCACCTCACAAGCGTGTCGAGGTCCCTCTGGATGGCATTCCTTCCCTCCAGGGTATCAACCGAACCACACAGCTTGGTGTCATCGGCAAACTTGCTGAGGGCGCACTCAATCCCACTGTCCACGTCAGTGACAAAGATGTTGAACAAAGGATATTTTCTTCTGCGCTTTCAGTGACAATAATCCTGGTATGTTTTGCTTTTTTCCAGTTCTCTCACCTTTTTCCTGTGCCATACTGCCTTGGGACTGAAAACTTGACTTCTGCTCAGAAGCTTCCTTAAAGCCATGATTCTTGTGCTGTTCCCTAGGCCTGGCATTGCATGCCTTCCATGGTGAATCATGTTTCTGAAAAGAGCCTTCAGCACTTTGCACTGCAATTGATTCAGTGACTTTTCCACTAACAGCAAGATGCTTTCCACACTTCTTGTTAAAACTGGGTTTCTTACTGCTTGTGGTGGCTTCCTCCTCCTTATCACTACTGTCCTCGTGTTCTTGTCCTTACGTCATATCCTCTTGTTTATAGGCCTTTCATTTTTTTTCCCTGCCACTTGGACAGTAACTGTTCTTCACAAATTCTCCCCAGATCAGATTCTCTTTTATAATTTCTCTTGTATTCTCTTCCCTTGTAGGCTCTTTTTCCCCGGCATAACTTTTTATGGCCATTTTCTTCACTTCCCTGAAGCCTCACCAGCTTCTGGCTTTCTAAGCGGTCTTCTTCAAGGGTGTCATCTTTTTCAGGCAATGACTCTTTGCCCTTCAGCTGGCCTTTATTTTTACCTTCCCACTGTCTCCCACAGTGGATCTTTGAATCTCCTGGGGAACCTGCTTTTTTCTCACAATTCAATAGTTTCTCTTTTCCAGGTTTCTGCGATGAATCTTCGATCAGGAAGGACACTCCAGTGTTCCAGAATATGTGAGTGCTTATCTCAATTTACCCACGAAAGGAAACACTGTGCATTTTGCTATGAAATAAGCTACAAAGAGAGGTCAGATCCTCCTAAGCAGTAATTTACTGCTCTTCTATAGAACTGAACAAGCATTTGCAGAACCATACCTGTGCACCTGAGGAGTATCAAAGTGACTGTCCTGTTCCAGGTTAATCTCTATTTTATTTTGTCA